ACTAATTTGTTATTTAAGAAAATATATTTTGATTCTCAAAATATTAATAGTATTTATTTACCTGTTATACATAGGTGTATAAAAGGTAAAAAGCTTTGTTTATGCAAGATGAACACAGTTTTAAAATATGCGTCAAGTTGGACGGGTTGGGCTATGACCCATTATTTAGCCTATCTTGACTCGGCCCATCTTAGCCCAAGTACACTTTGGGCTGAGTTAGGCAATAACCCATTTATTGACCTAACTCATTTTGATCCGCCCAAATTCAGCCCAACCCGCCTATTTGCCATTATTTCAATGCTTAATAGTTTGGCTTTGAACAACAAACTTTTACCTCTATCTGCTCTGTAGATTATCATATCAAAGTTGTCTTCACTAGCTATGCTGTTCACATATAGGCAGAGAAGGCAAATAGCAACTTGTTCAATCAAATTTCCTTAAGTATTCTCCCTTCGTTCAATCAAAAATGATACGACGCCAAACATTTTGGAACGACACAAACAGAAAAGTTAGCCATATAAATTGGAAAGAGACATGAAGCATGATTTATAAAGCTTTATGCTAGTTTAAGTGTTAAGATCAAAATAACTTTTGACTTTTGGAGTTTTTGTTAATAATGAAGGAAGTTGATCGGAGCAAGATATTTCATCAACGGATTCGCTGCTGCAGCAGGAGCTCTTGTCAACTCCAGCTTCTACACACCACGAGACACTTTAGGGCATGGATCGCACACATTGTCCACAGCCGGTGGTAATTTTGTGCAGGGAGCTAATATTTTTGGGTATGGCAATGGCACAGCAAAAGGGGGATCACCACGAGCACGAGTAGCAGCTTACAAGGCTTGTTGGCCTCCTATTATTCCAAGCGACTCGTGCACTGATGCAGATGTCTTGGCCGCCTTTGATATGGCAATTCATGATGGTGTTGATGTGCTTTCGGTATCAATGGGAGGATTACCTGTACCATATGTCAATGACAGTATTGCTATCGGTTCGTTTCATGCTGTTAAGCATGGCATTGTTGTGGTAACCTCGGGTGGTAATTCTGGTGCTTATCCTGGTACAATAGCCAACACTGCACCTTGGCTCATCACTGTCGGGGCAAGCACCATTGATCGCGTGTTTGCCAGTTATGTCATTCTAGGAAACAATAAGCGCTACAGAGTAGGTTTCTCTTGTCCTCTATTCTTAATGTCTGCAAAACAATAATCTCTGGATGCGAGCTTTAATGAACCAGGGCCGGAGCTTTTCATAGAGAGTTAGATAGCGTCAGTTCTCATAGTGAGGCTTGGGCCGTAATTTAACAGTATTCAGGTTCTTTTGTTTTATAGGGAGTAAGCCTTGCAACTGAAGCAGTGCCCCACGGCAAGTCCTTCCCAATTATTACAGGTGCATCTGCTAAACTTGCCAATGCAACAGCCCAAGCTGCGTGAGTATTACTGTCTTCCCTACTGCTTAATACAAAGGGATCTTTACACAAATAGCCCGGTCAGATTCACTTTTTAGTTTTTCTAGCTGGTATATATATTATACGTTAATTATACACGGTTATACACATATTATATATGGATTATACATATTATGTATTTGCTGGCAATTTTTAGTGCTAACATATAGGTGCTTCTGCAGTAATTTTTGCCTAGGTGGGACTTTGGACCCTAAGAAGACCAAGGGGGCTATTTTGGTTTGCCATAGAGGGGGTAGTCCAGGGCTTGACAAATGCACGCAAGCGACTTTAGTAGGTGCAGTTGGTATCGTTATACTCAACAGTGAATTCTTTGGAAATGAAATGTATGCTGAACCTTACTTCTGCCCTGCAACGCTTATCAGTTACTCCGATGGACTTGAAGTCTTGGCTTATCTTAATTCAACAAGGTATAACAGTCTAAGAATCGGGCGTTATGCCAAACATGATTGTTGAATTAAATTTTCATGGCACAACAAAATTCAGTATGCACATTGACTTAACCTGCTGAATCCTTTATATCGCCTTCTTTTTCTGTTTTTTCCTTTTTCATGTTAAACATCATTGTGGTGTGAACAGGACACCTACGGCTTACATTACTCGGCCAACAACTGAATTGGGAACAAAACCTGCTCCAATTGTGGCTGCATTTTCATCCATTGGACCAAATAGGGTTACTCCAGAGATTCTCAAGGTTTTCTTTTAACCATTTCAACAATGTTAGTTTCAAGTTTATTAAGGAAAATAATTTCATTTCAATGAGTATTCATATGAATATGATACTATCTTTCCAGCCTGATATCACTGCCCCAGGAGTGAGCATAATAGCTGCTTATACTGGAGTACAACCGCCTACACAAATAGGTTTTGATGATCGCCGGGTTAAATTTAACACAATGACAGGCACTTCAATGTCATGTCCTCATGTAGCTGGTGTCGTTGGCCTTTTGAAAGCGCTCCATCCAACTTGGAGTGCTGCAGCCATCAAATCTGCCATTATGACCTCCGGTAGGATTACACAGCCCTTTCAATGCAACTTTTCTTAAATTCTTGATCATATTAGATTTCTAGAATAAGAACTAAATGAGTTATATGGAAACTTTTATATGATTTTGATGCCTTGATACTCTTATTCTTCTGCAGCAAGAACGCGAGATAATACTTTCAAGCCAATGACTAATTCAACTGACCTTAAGGTAACACCATTTGCATATGGAGCGGGAAACATATGGCCAAACCGCGCCATGGACCCTGGCTTGGTTTATGACTTAACGATCGATGACTATATGAGCTTTCTCTGTGCCCAAGGCTACAATAAAACTCAAATCAATATCTTCTCACAAGGGTACTTCAAATGTCCCGAGCCTATTAGTTTCATCAATTTGAACTTACCCTCAATCACAGTGCCCAAGCTCAATGGCTCAGTCGTCGTGACTAGAACTTTGAAGAATGTAGGATCACCGGGCACTTACAGAGCTCGTATTCGCTCCCCAGCTGGAATTTCTGTTGTTGTTGAGCCAAACACTTTGGAATTCAACAAGATTGGAGAGGAGAAATCTTTCAAGCTCACTCTGAAAGTTAAAGGAAATAAAGCTCCAAAAGATTATGTGTTTGGCCAGTTAATATGGTCTGATGGCAAGCACAATGTTAGAAGTCCCATTGTAGTGAAAGCTAGTTAAGAATGTGTTTGGTAGCTTTCATTTCTCTGCTTGTATAATACTATTCATTGAGCTCAAAGTATTCAAACAGTTTACTTGTCCAATTAATAATTTGCCAACATTAGTTAGTTTCAGCAATGTAATAAATGGCAATCATCTTAATTAATCTTAAAGTACATTAACATTAGTTTATTCAACGCTTTATCATGAGATTGTTTTTGTGAATGGCTCAATGAGTAATAGAGCTTGTACTGTAGTGAGTAGTCTATTTATAGTAATATTTACATAGATGAGATTAGTAGATTTCTCTAATGAGACCGATTATAACCACATCTATAACAAACCTTTCCTATCGCTAGGAGGAAAGCCCATGAAAATCATAAAGTGGACAGCAGATTTTAAACCTGAGATAGAAACTTCCATTGTGCCTGTATGGATATTAATTCACCAACTTCCTTGGCATCTTTTCAGATGGGATGTGATGTCAAGCTATTGCTCCTGATCAAGCTACGTACTCCAAAACTAAAGGGAATGTAGCTAAGCTTAAGGTAGAGATTGATCTATTAAAGCCCAAACAAGATCAGATTTGGTTGGGATTTAATAGATTAGAAGAGTCGGAAGATGGGATGTGGCTAGACATTGAGTATGATGGGGTTCCAAGCTACTGTAAATGTTGCTTGCTTCACGGCCACATGGAGGATCAATGTAGAATGAAAAAAGAAAGGAATGACAAGAAACTGAATGGCAAAAATACGAACAAAGGAGGGGGGACACAATCAGAGGAAATGGTACAAGACAAAAGTAATAACGTACAAAAGGAAGTAGGAGAGCAAAGTAATTCAAAAGATAGTAACCAATGGGAACAACCAAAGAAGAAAGAGAGAAGAAGAAATAAGAATCAGATGGATAACCCTCAGATACACAAGCATAACAAAGGCATTGTAATTCAAGAACCAGATCATCAACATCACTTGACAAGGGCTCCGGAGGTTCCAGAAAAAGGAAAAATGGTGGATGACAGTGTGGAACATCAACAAAACAAAACAAAAAAGAAGGTGGGTACACAAAAGGAGAACCAGACCAAGCAACATACTCAGGAGAATGCAGAGAACAACCAAGATCAAATGCATCAAAAGGAAAATAAAATCAAAGACAACAAAGGAGGACAAAAAGATAATGCAGGCAATCAAAAGCAACAAAACCCAAAATACAACAATGAGCAGGATAACCACACAAGAACACGTGGAGGGGCTCAACATCAGGAGCTATTCCATGACTGTGCCCAGGACAATGAAGACTCACAACACGAAAATCAGGTATCCAGAATACCTGAATCCACTGAACAAACAAGGAATCACATTATCCCACAACCTTTATCTTCAACTGCTCTTCAAGTCTTGAATGGAAGCACAAGGATAGATAAGGAAGATGATATTGGAAGTGCAAATGAATCAGAAGAAGGGGATCACGAAAGTTTTGATCAAGAATATGGAGAAGATGAGAGTGAAACAGATGAGTCAGAGAGTGTAGAAGAGGAATCTAGCTCGGATGATGAAACTGCAAAGAAGTTGATTGAAGTTTTTCCTTCTACAGCTGATCCAAACAATGAAGTTGATAAAGCCATTGGGGAGGTGATTGAAAAGGGCCACTTATCACCAAGAGGAGCCAACTCTAGTAGAGTAGGTAGAGCTAGCAGAGGTGGTAGGGGATGTAAAGGAGGAAGATCAAATGTTCAACATGCTGTGAATATGTCACAGGCCAAAAGGACCCCTAAACCAAAAGTTTTTTTTATGATTAAGTCCATTTTTTGGAACATTAGAGGTACCAAAAGTCAAGGTGCCTTTGAAAGACTTTTGCAGATGAAGATTACTCATCAGATTCCTTTTATCGCTCTGATGGAACCTTTCTGTAAGCCTAAGACAATGAGAAGGTATAAGACAAGATTGGGGTGTGGGTTTGGTTATTCCAACTGTAATAACAAAATCTGGATAATTTGTGAAGATTGATTGGATTGTAAAGTTATTGAGGATACAGAGCAACAAGTCACTTGTTCTCTGAAATTGGATGGTAATGACTTGTTAGTGACTGCTATTTATGCTAAATGTGACCCTCTTCTTAGGGTCGATCTTTGGGATAACATCAGAAACATAGCAGCCCACCATGATGTCCCTTGGATAGTAGGGGGAGATTTTAACTGTATCTTCTCTCCTGATGAAAACCTGGGGAGGGGGGGGGGGGGGGGGGGGGGGTTGTAATGTACATAGAATGTTAAAGAGCATGGATTTTCTCAATTGTATAATTGACACAGATCTAGTAGATGCAGGATATTATGGTTCTGTATATACTTGGTGCAATGGATGGGAATCTAGTAAGAGGGTGTGGAAGAGGTTGGATAGAGTGTTGACTAATCAAAAATGGTTGCAGCTATTTAATAGCACTTGTGTCACTCACCTTATCAGAACTGGATCTGATCACTCACCTCTTTTTGTGAGTGCAAAAATACAGGAGGTAGAAACTCCTAGTTATTTCAGGTTCTTAGATCTATGGGTGGATGAGTCTTCTTTCCTGGATATTGTATCAGAAGCCTGGCAGGAGGAGGTGACAGGGAATCCTATATGGAAATTCCATCTGAAATTAAATAATACTTGTAAGAAACTATCTTGGTGGTCCAGGAATGTAGTGGGTAATATTTTTTAGAAGACCAAACAGATGGAGGAGCAAGTGAGGGTGTTAGAGGAAAAGATGATTGCAGACAATAAGGACACTCAAAGAATAGCCCTGAACAAGGCCAATGCTGAACTTATCAGGCACAACAAGGTGGAGGAAAAGTTCTTGAGGCAGAAAGCCGGCTTGAAATGGTTTGTTGAAGGGGAAACCAATTCAAAATTCTATCATTCTGTTATAAAAGGAAAGAGAAAAAGAATGCAACTCAGTAGAATGAAGAAAGAAGATGGTACTTGGGTGGAAGGAGAACAACAACTTACAGAAGTGGCTGTTACAGTTTTCCAAAAACAGTTTAGAAGTGAAACTATATCCAAGGGATATTTCAATGCTAAATTGTATACCTAAATTAGTCACTGATAAAGATAATAGGAACTTAACCATAACTCCTAGCTTGGAGGAAGTAAAAGAAGTGGTCTTTTCTCTGAGCGCATCCAGTGCTCCTGGCCCAGATGGTATCACAGCAAAGTTCTACCAAACTTGCTGGGATATCATTGCTGGGGATTTACAACTAATGATACTTGCCTTTTTTGCAGGTACCGAACTTCCCAAGGCATTCACTCAACATGTCTTGCTTTGATTCCTAAGTGCCCAACCCACAGGAATTCAACCAGTTCAGGCCAATCAGTTTGAGTAATTTTTCATGTAAGATTATCTCAAAGCTAATGACCAGAAGGCTTTCCACAATCATGCATAAGTTGGTTTCTCCTAACCAGATAGGATTCATTAAAGGCAGGTCCATTACAGAGAATGTTATGTTAGCTCAGGAACTAGTGCATAACATCAGATGGCCAAACACTGAAGGAAATGTAGTGATGAAATTGGATATGACCAAAGCTTACGACAGAGTGGATTGGAACTATATATGCCAAGTCATGAGGCAGATGGGTTCTCAGAAGTTTGGGTGGACAAAGTATAGAGATTGATTTCAAATGTCTGGTACTCCATCATTATAAATGGGAAGAGACACGGTTTCTTCAATTCTTCAAGAGGTTTGAGGCAGGGCGACCCACTTTCACCTTCACTATTTGTAATTGGGGCAAAATTATTTTCCAGATTAATGGATCAACTCACTGAAGCAGCATTTATCCCATATTCAGTTGATAGAAATGGACCTATAGTTACACATCTTTGTTATGCTGATGACACTATATTGTTCTCATCTCGTGATCAACAATCATTACAAAATATGATGGACAAGTTAAAGAGGTATGAGGTAGTATCTGGGCAACTGGTAAACAAGGCTAAGTCTTTCATCGTGATGACCCCGGATACAACTCCTGAGAAACTACAAGAAGTATAATCTATCACTGGTTTCAGGGCATCGAAATTCCCTTTTCAGTATTTGGGATGCCCAATATACTTGGGAAGAAAGAAGATAGTATATTTTAATGAGATGGTGGTTAAAGTATCTAATAGGATCCAAGGGTGGCAAGGAAAACTCTTATCCTATGTGTTAGGATCGGGAACCCGGGTAGTGCGGAATATAGCCAAACAACGGTATAATGGCAATAACAAAGACAATGGAAGTTGATAACAACGACAATTAAAGTAAATAAAGAAGACACAAATTTAACGTGGTTCGGTCAAAATGACCTACGTCCACAAGCGGAGAGGAGCAATTTACTATAACAATAAGAGTACAAAAAAGAGTACAAAATTAGAGTAAACACTCTAATTAATCCCAAATACCCTAAGAGAATAACCTCACATGATCACTCCAAAGAAAGGGTTTACACAAGTGCTTCCCAACACTTAACTCTCATACAAAACACTCTTAATAAAGGAAGAAACAAGAAATGAAGACTCAAGTCTTGTTGGTGTATTTCCAAATGAGTAGAGAGTCCTCATTATATAGGAAGAGAAGAAAGAAATGCTTGACCAACAATTGACCACATCCTCTCAAAATACAAGGCCATTTATTTGGCCAACAAGGCCTTAAATAAAAGGCTCCAAATGTGCCAACAAGGCTCACAAATAAAAAGCCTAAAAATAAGACCACCTTTTACACTATGGTGGCAAGGCGGTGCTGATTAAAGATGCTTTGCACTCACTCCCCCTTTACCTATTATATGTTGTTAGCCCTCCTAAAACAGTCTTGAACCAGGTAGAAAAAATCATTGCCATATTCTACTGGGGGTTAGACAATATTAGCAACAAGTACCATTGGAAATCATGGAAAGACTTATGCTTTTGGATTCAGAAGTTTGCATGATATATCACTATCCTTTGCAGCTAAGGCATGGTGAACATTCAGGACAAGTAATAACCTTTTCAGGACATTCATTGAGGCCAAATATTGTAAGAGGGGTCATCGAGTCTCATATAAGCTAAGACCTGGTCTTTCTCAAATCTGGAAGAGACACATGGAGATCAAGGAAGAAACTGAAAAATACATTCTCTGGAAAATAGGTAAAGGTAATTTGTCCTTTTGGTGGGACAACTGGACAGGTCAAGGAGCTTTGGCAAATCTAGGGGTTAACTACCCTACTCCTAAAGGAACCAAAGTTCAACAATTCATCAGGAGTAAGAAGTGGGATGTAACAAGATTGCAAGCTATAATTCCTCATCGTTTGGTGAGAATTATCAGAAAAATCAAAATACATCCTATGGATGATGACAGGCCAGTTTGGACACTTGAGCAATCAGGGAAGTTCTCATGCAACTCAACCTAGAATGCACTCAGAACTACCAAAAATCACACTTTCACAGGTATCAAAACATGGCATCCAAAGTTACCATTTAAACTCTTTGAAAAAAGACCACCAACAGATGAGATTGTCATTAAAAAGTTTAAAATACAAGGCACTTCTAAGTGCACTTGTTGTTCCCAAGCTTCTTGTGAGTCAATTGATCATTTATTCTCCACAAGTCAGATAGCAGGAGAAGTGTGGTCCTTTTTTAGCAATTCTTGTGGCATCACTATCCAACAGGGAACAATGAGGGCTATGATTATGAGATGGTGGCTAACCAAACCAAAGAATAAAGTAGAAGAAATGATTTTGCAATGCATCCCCATAGTTATTTGTTGGCATATATGGAAGGCAAGGTGTTCTTATAAGTTTGAAGGTACAAAGTATTATGCGGGGCAAGTCATCCAGAATACTTGTTATCTAATGAACATGTTATTACATACTACCTTCCCTTCAGTCAACTTTCATTATAATGACTGAATAAGTAACATGTGTTTGATAGAAAGATTGCAACAATGCCTAAGTATCAAAACAGTGAGTTGGCTGAAACCTGCACCAGGAGGAGGAGGTGTTGTGAGAGACCATAATGGAAACTTCATAATGGCCTTCTCGGCGTACTTTGGAAAATGCTCTAATAATGTTGCCGAGGCAAAGACCATGCTGATGGGGATTAAATGGTGCAAGACCAACAATATAAGGAACCTTATTGTGGAGACAGACTCTTAGATTGTTAGATCCCTTGTTATCGACGAATCGAAACAGAATTGGCAGATTATGTACTCGACTCATAAGATAAGGAAAATTTCGAGGAATTATGAAGTAGAGTTCAAACATATCTGGAGGGAAGGAAATACAATGGCGGATATGTTGGCCAACTGGGGTGAAAGTACCAAGAGGAAAACTTTCTTCACTGAAGTTATATCACTTCTAAGACAGGTGACAACGGCACTGAGGAACGATCAACAAGGTAAATGTAACTTTAGAATTAAACCTAGGAATGGTTTCTGTAATGTCAAAGAATTCATTAGTTAGGGAACAGTTGTAGAGGTTCCGATTTTTGTTATTGTCTAGCGACATACCTTTATGGAGGTATGTATAGTCAGCTTTTTAAAGGCAACATGCCTTTCAAATGTGTAATGAAGGTCTGGTCCTCCTCTTTGTAATCTCTTTTGTGATATGAAAATCATCTCAAGGACCCAACTAGGGACTTGAGCATTAATCTAAAAAAAAAGTAGACACGAGTAAATAAGAGTCCTAATATATCAATCACTGCCCCAACTAAACACAACTTTTTTCCTTCTTGGTTTTAGACAATGTACTTGAACCATTTTCCACCGCAATAGCTCTTGCTATTGTTGAGTAACGTCAACATCTTTTCTATCGCTAGGCTCATGTGCGGCTCAGGGATGGCTCAGTCAGGAGTCATGATCAAACATGACCCTTTGTTATTAACATTTCGTATTGATGGTTTTGATCCTAACAATCATGTGTTAGCATACGAATGAATCTAACCTTACTTTCTAAAATTGTATGATTATATCTCTTATACCACTAGACACCCCCTTGCAAAGAAGTGGTATCTTGTATACTCTATTTCAATTTATATGTTTTACATTATTTCTTCTATAGTGTGTTTAAAAACAATGTCACATCTTGTACTTTTTTAAGTTTTTAATCTCAACATTCACATTTTACCTCTATTGTAGGAATAATTTTTATTATGTTATACGCACACTTAGTTTAGGTTCACAAGATTGAAAAAAAATATTTTTAAACCTTATACCGGGTCAAGTAAAACACATAAAATTAAGGATAATCTACGTGGTCTATCCATTAAAAATACCAGTTAACTCCATATACTTTTAAAATATTTATTTTACATTCTATACCTACTTTATAAAACTTTATTTACTTCTTAAATCTTTAATATCATTATATGCCATTAAACATATCACACATTTTAAAGGATTAGATTATCCCCCATATTCTTTTAGGATATCTTCAATCAACATTTAATTGGGATAATATTACACCTTTCTCAAAATTGTAGTAAGCATTGTGTACCCATCTATTCTAATCACACAATCAATTCTTTCAAGTTTTTTCTCTCAAGCAAATAGCAAGCAAAAAGTTATAGGAAAGGATGAAGAGAATAGCACTGAAAAGAATACTTGGAAAGAGCGATAAAGTTTCTTCTCCCATTGAAATTCAACGGGGAGGTGAAATTATTGGATGAAACTCCACATGCAATCTATGAATCGGCTTCCAAAATGGATGAAAATGCTAGATTTGCGAAACTACGATCTCAAAATTCTAAAGTTCGGGCATCCAAAAAGGATGATGGCATAAAAGTTAGTAGGAAAAAATACGACATGGTAAAAACTAGGGTTCCGGGTCTAAAAAGATGAAATGTTGGCGACAACAATGGCGTAAAGAAGCTTTTAGTATTGTTAGAAACCAAGCATACCACAATATTTTAAATTGGAATACAATATTCAAATCAAGCATACCACAATATTTTAAATTGGTATACAATATTCAAATCATATATATCGTAATATTCTGATTTAATATTCAAACCAAAATAAAATATTAGAATAGTTTATTCTATTTTATGATTAAATATTGGTATATTGCTAGAAATTATTTGGAATACTACTGCTCTTTAATAGTATATTCTAGTAATGTTGATGTAATATTAGATTTTAATTGGATACTTCAATAGAATATTCTAGTATTATATTTTGAATATTACGATACACATTAGAATACTTTTGAGTTGTAAATCAAAAACTAAGTTGAATATGTGAGTGAAATAATAATATAATATAAATTGAATATCATTGTGTAGTTATTGAATATTATCATAGATGTAGTGAATACTCTAAGTTTTAAATTAAATAATATATAAAGTAAATGTTATCAATATAAAAAAACGAATATGCCTCTTTATTTTAAGAATATTATTGTAAATGTATGTTGAATGTATAAACTAAATAATATCTATGGTTTAAATTGAATACTGCTATTTATTATGGAATGCATATTTGATTTTCTTACTTTGAAGAGTTTGTATTGCGCAAGGTAACGTATTTTTTAGGAATATGATAAACTTGAGTAATTGGCTTTGATAGGAGAGAGGTAAATATCAATATTCAATTCATTACCTCTGGTTAGGGCTATATTTAAGGGATATTATCCTACATAATTGTGACTGTTGGATAAAAAGGTTATATGAAGTAATTATTTTAAGGATTTTTAACTTTAGGATATATGGTGTAAAGAGGCCATGTACATAGTTATATGGTCGTAACTTCCCCTAAAATTAAATGTAAAACATACATTTTAAAAAAAACTTTCCGTACATTAACTTCTTTCTTTTTTCTCTTTCTCGCCACGTCTCAACGGGAAGAAGGAAAAAGAAGAGAGGTTTTTGAAATTTTTACAGAGCCATTACCAATACCCCCTCCTCTTTCCATCTTCTTTCTGAAATATCTGCGATTTTCTATATTATATAATCTCTAATATACTTTAATTGTATATACAAATTGTATTTTTCCAGCTCATANACGTCTCAACGGGAAGAAGGAAAAGAAGAGAGGTTTTTGAAATTTTTACAGAGCCATTACCCCTTCTCTTTTCATCTTCTTCTGAAATATCTGCGATTTCTATAATATATAATCTCTAATATACTTTAATTATATATATAAATCATATTTCTCCGGCTCATATACATTCATCTACTATTCTCTCTTCAGATCTCCTTCTTCCTTACGTAATTCGTCAACCATGTCGTACGCCTATCTTTTCAAGTATATCATCATCGGCGATACCGGTAATTTTCCTTCCTTATTTTCAATTTCGATAAACCTCTCTTATCTTTTTTTATTTTATTTACGTTGATTGCATCCGTTTAAAATGTTTTCTGTTTGATTATCAATGATTTTAATTTAATTTATTTGCTTTTTTTCATTTTTATGGATCTGGAATGTGCAATTGCCATGATTTATTCAATTGTCTTTTCGTTTTTGATTTTTGGATTTTATGATTTTGTGTTTTGTCTTCGCATTTCATATCTTAATTGAAAAATGGTATATTCATGATGATTTGACAATTAATTGTTTCTGATAGAAAGGATTTTGTTAAGCCAAATTGATGCTTTTTGTCATTTAGATATTTATGTCATCAAGTAAAAGAAAGTAGACGCTCAGTAGCCTAATCCTAGGCGGGCAGAATTACCCGATGTATGTGGTGGGAGGTAGCAGGTGCTCAGTGAAATAGGCGAGGTGTGCGCAAGTTGGCCCGGACGCCAATATCATCAGAAAAAATAAGTAGAGGTTCAGTACGTGAGGCTGTACTTAAACTGCCAATTTGGTTATATTTGAAGTCTGTTTACTCTGTAAGTTTTTGTGTCTATGCAAAGTCTTGTGGATACAGTTGCAGATTACTCTTTTCTATGTAAAATGTTCGAGGAGAAAAGTTTTTGAAAAAGTAACAGGTTCTAGAAATATTACAAATCCAAGGTGAATCGTAATCTAGAGTTCATTTATCTTTTAGAAGGATCTAACACTAGAAGTTTTTTAGGTTGCTGCTTGCACTAACTTTTGGAAAAAGCTTTTTGGAATTTCGTAATTAAAAAAGAGTATGTGCAGAATCTAACATGTTAGTTATAGTTTTTCAGAAGTTATGCAAGTTTTCTTTTGAGTGGAGGAACTTTTCTTTGAATAATACCCATAAACCATATCTTTGAGGAACAGTTTGTTTGAAAAAACTTTTAGCAAAAACTTAAATAAACATGTTTCTGGAAACTTCTTTTGCAAGATTTTAAAAAATTTCATTAACAAATGCCACTAAGAAGTTTTTCTAATGTTAATATGTTCAGGTGTTTGGCCAGTCTATTTCTTAAGTTTTTATTGAATCTGACTTTGAATTATCTGCTACATTTTGGCTACTACAATAGTTAAAACTTGGGTAGCAGGTCCTTACGTGGCTCGGGGCAGCAAGTTAGGATTGTTAAACTGCAGGTTTAGTTGACAATTGTTGAGGGAAAACAGAAAGGAACTGCTGAAAGCCTTCTGCATAGTCACCTTTTCTAACTGCAACCCTTGCTTCTTCCCAAAGTAAATTCCCTTACAGAAGCACATATTTACTTTTTCAGTAAGGGCCTTATAAAAGGATATATATTCTAAGTTTCACTAGAAAGATAATCTAAGAAAGTATGATGACATTCCCCTCCTCTCTTTTCTCCTCTATCTCTCATCACTACTTATCAATTTTTCGTTTTCTGCAATTTCTCGCAATCTGGTTATCCTTTGCACATCCGCAAAACATCATAGTTTAACCAACTTATCAGTCCCGTGCTAGGCACAGTCATGCCCACCCTCCTTCAGGTTATATTCGGCATGAAGGATTGATCTCTCCTAGTTAATCTCTAAGATTTTTGATTCTTTGTTGCTGAAGTTTAAAAAGTCGTAAGGCAAGAAATTGCACCTGCATAGTTCTCTTTATTTTGTGGCTTAGGTTAGTATTATATTCCTCAACCTGAAAAAGATAATTGCTTTCTCCTAGAACTAAAACACCTCTTCTCCTTTGACTCGCATAAATTTGACATGAATTTGCTGACTAGGCACATTATAGAATCAATATATAAAGGAATTTGACCATGAGAAAACACAGTAGGAAAATAGTTCGAAAATATGTCTGCCTTTTGCATATGGTCAAGTGATTATTGATAAAACTGTCAAAGCTCATAATAATAAAAACATGCTTTAATTGATGAATTACATATGGCTTATGGTGAAGATGGATACTCAGGACTGTTGCCACTATATCACTACAAGGAACTGCCATGTAAACACTCCTCGCTTAGGGGACTCAAAATCCCTGTAATGAGAATCTAAACTATTGAATATTTATGTGATGGTGATTATGCTGAGTGATTCCTCATTATTTGGTATTGTTTTAGTCGTATCTACATACACAGAAAGCCATCTTGCAGTTTCTGTTTTGCCCTTTACCAGTGTACTTTGCCCTCTAGCATTTCTTATAATCATTTGGTTCTAATATTTTGTGTGTGATATTGATGAATGCATTTATTAGACATCATACATAACGTTAAATATTTTGTTGCACAGGAGTCGGAAAATCTTGCCTTCTGTTGCAATTTACGGACAAACGGTTTCAACCCGTCCATGACTTGACCATTGGGGTTGAATTTGGGGCTAGGATGATCACAATAGACAACAAACCAATAAAACTACAGATCTGGGACACGGTTTGTGACATCTTGTCTCTTTCTCTTTTACTGGCAATACGCCGGATGTCGAAAAAGTGCTTTATTAGACCACAGTTCATCTGATCATCTTATTTTGGTCATTAGGAGCTTGAGACTATCCTCATAAATGCCTTACATTTTGTCCTAAGCAGCAGAGTCATTCTTACTGTTTTTGATATTGTTTGCATGTGCTATCATTAATGGCTGAGAGCATGATTCTAATGAATGTTCTCCATTTCAGGCTGGCCAAGAATCATTCAGATCTATCACTAGGTCATACTACAGAGGTGCTGCTGGGGCACTGCTTGTTTATGATATTACAAGGTATTGTCCTGCATACATCTTTATCACATATATGCATGGAATCCATGTTAGTCAGCATAGCTTTGCTTGCATATATTAGGATTACTTCTTGATGTGTCTTTTTGACTTGGATCCATATTCGAGAAATGTTTCTTTCTTGGGAAAATTACAAAGTGTAGCCGCTCCTAAAAATAATAGCCGGCGAATGTATAATATATTTGGCTAGCTATTGTAATTATTTTTAGTTGATCAGCCCAATATGTTAATAGCCGATGTTTCTTTTCACAAACTTTGTTGCCCGGAGATGTCATTTCTAGAGCAGATTTGGCTTATTTGATAGTAAAACAATATCGAATGGTGTTCTGATGATGATACCTATGTCTTTGACTGTCAAAGAGAGGAATTAAAAAAGTTTTTAAAGCTAGTGATAACACTATCATCTTGCGTCATATGTTTCTCTTGTAGTGGACATTAATGAATCAATTATCTTGTCTTCTGTATTAAACTTCGTCTGGGAGTAAGTTGTAATTGACACATCTTTGTTTTGTTGTCTCCTTCAATCCTTCCAATCCCTGAATGCTGACACGCTATTCCTGCTGCTGTAACTCTAAGCACATTTGTCTACATTAATGTTTTAGTGATTTTCTTTTTTCCAAAACTGTTATAGGAGGGAAACGTTCAATCACCTTGCTAGTTGGCTGGAAGACGCAAGGCAGCATGCAAATGCAAACATGACTATAATGCTAATAGGAAACAAGTGTGATCTGGCTCACAGAAGGGCTGTAAGCACAGAAGAAGGCGAGCAGTTCGCAAAGGAAAATGGCTTGATATTTATGGAGGCCTCTGCCAAAACTGCTCAGAATGTTGAAGAGGTAAGAAATCCTATATTCTGCTGCTTCTCTTGAGCTTTGACAGTACACAAGGGCCACCCTCGCTAAGAAATTCTATTGCACCTTTTCAGGCTTTTATCAGAACAGCCTCAACTATCTATAAGAAAATACAGGATGGAGTGTTTGATGTATCAAATGAGGTATCCCATACCCTGTCTACATTTGTATAATCTGCCTAATGTTTATCGCTTTGTGCACTGAATGTTGTTACTTGTTAGAGAAGAAGTAACTTCTGTGGAGATATATTAATGCATGAAAGCAAAGTAAGTAAGACATTTTGGGAGTAAAGAAAAATACTATTGGCACATCCCATGTTACCATGTTGAAGGACTTATATGGTTCCTTTTGATCCTATTACCAGATAGTACTTTCCTTGCTTATTTAAAGAAAATGATAAAAAAGATCTAGGGTGTCTTCGTTCCTTTGGAAAACAATACAGATTACAGAGTTTTATATTGAACTAATTAGTTCAATGGGCCAATACTTCAAACAAAACAATATCCACGTTTGAGGGACACCCCCTCCCAGGTGTATGTTTGACCTGTCCAACCTCCAAGGATGTATCTATCTGTGCTATGCACAGCTTAAATGCTGTTATAGCTTTTTGAAGTGAACTACTAATTTGCCTATCTTGTAATCTACTGTGAAGTTCATTTATATGTAGTGCAATCCAATTTGCCGGTAATATTTGGTTAGAAAAAGTAGATGTTTCATAAAGATTGTATTCAACTGTTGATTGGCAAGTTTTTTGCACCTTGACTGCTTTTTTAGAAAACTTGCACGGCATCTACAACATAGTGATGAATATCCTAATATCCGACATACAGGCAGAAAAATATATTTTTAAGATACGATTTTATTGAACTCATCTGGATTTGGGCCCTTTCATCTCAAAAAGGATTTCAACTTTTGTGAAACCATGAATATAGAACTATGTCCAGTTTGCTTCCACTAATCTGAATTTTGGGATTTTCAAAATTAACAGTTTAAAGTTTTGAGTAAAAATTAGGCTCTTTAATTCATATAAGTTTGACCCCTAAAAGTTCCATTTATGAGGGGAGAGGAATTTTGATCCCTACATGAGAAACCAGATTNGCAGAGTTAATTTGAAGGGAGGTGAATGAGTTGAAAGTTATTTCAGAATCAGAGAGAGATTGTTAATGCTTGGTTTTGTCAAAGGCACTGTTGTCAAAGGCGCGCTTAAGCCCTAAAGCGAGGCTCAAAACATGTTGAGCACTTCGCCTCGCTTTGTGGGCGCTTTAGTATAGCATCAAGGCTCCAAGGTATACTATTCCTTGCCAATGAGTGCAATCATGAAAAGACGATATTCAACAATTGATATTTCACTTTATCGTAAATTTTTTCCAATTTCTTTGTCCATATATTTGTTATTCATGCTTATAATTATTAGTCTTGGACTGCATATACATATTTGTATTTTTCTCTAGTTGCGTCTTTTTTTATTAAAGCCCACGCTTTATTTGCGCTTAAAGCCCCAATGGACGTTAGAGCTTTTTTGCGGTTTTCGCAAATGATAACACTGGTCAAAGGTGAATTTTTGTTGTGTATAAATCCCTGATGTAAAGAGTTCAAATTTTTAATTGTCTTGCAGTCATACGGAATAAAAGTTGGGTATGGAGGCATTCCTGGGCCATCAGGCGGAAGAGATGGAGCTGCTTCTCAAGGAGGAGGTTGTTGCAGCTAAACTTTATTCTTCAAATTTGATTCTGTCCTGTTGTTATTTATTTGTGTTTAGCGTCTTAACATTGAGAGGTTTATTCAATTTGTTTGTTTTACTGTTAATATCTGCTCAAATATAATCAAACATCAGTAATATGGGACTTGTCTTTCTTCTTTGATTTCTCCTTGTAATAATTGACATTACCAAATGTGTATAGTGTTTGATAGATCTTTTGTGTTTGTTTGATTAAAAAATTCACTCAACCCCTCCTCCCCCTTTTCCTGTCCCCCCGCCAACCCCATGTTGTCGAAATGGTTTCTTGGGCGTAACAACGGGAGAAGAGATCATTTTTGTTTGCATGGATTTGCCATAAGCAAGCAAAAATTGCCCCCAGCGTTAAGGCGATTGCGCGGGTGCAAATGTTGTTGGCTGGCTATGGATGACTGGAGACATATTGATTATTTCCTTTAGCTTTGCTGGTTGACCAGCTTAACGTGGCCGAGTAACTGGGAATAAGCATATCCTGCTGTTGGGCTAAAGTGCAAAAGTTGGGAAAAGTTAATTCCCCTCCAAGCAAAGGGCTCGAGTAGGTAGTAAAGGTCGTCTAAGTGTACTGTATTGCAAAGTTCGAATTGTAGATAATCGCACAGTTTTATATTGAGCGGGTTAAAATAAATTCACTCGCTAATCGAGCAACGACCTGAGTTTTTTTTTTTTAATTGTTGTTGTTGTTGTTGTTGTTGTTGTTGTTGTTGTTGTAATAACTGTGAATATTACCATTGACAACAAAAGAAGAATACATCTAAAGAGCACTTAATTTCACAATCACCTTCTTGGAAGGGTGCTATGAATATTAAGCCTCCAAGCAAACGCTAATTACGCAGTAATTTCAGCAAGAAAAAAACTTCTAGATCTACAAGACTTCTTTGATAGTTAAGTAAATCTATTTTTTCGACAGCTTCTTTCTTAATCTGTATGACTACCTCTTCAGTATTTGGTGTGAAATTGACGGATTAATTTATCTAGTGTATTGAATGACAAGGTTAATATTACTCGTAGTATTCTTTCGAAGTACTACGCGCCTATTCAAGCTAACTGAATACTTATATTTATATGGAGTTAGAATTAACAAGAATGCATTAATAATTTTTCCATAATAACCAAGCAAGACGATTAGATATATTTCTATCGTAATCGCGAATTCGTTCCCCGATGTCCAGGTTCAAGAACTTGTTCTACTCAATCCTATATGCAATTTAGAATTTCCACTTTCGAGGTCAATCATAGATAGTATTCAATTGGTGATCAAACAATCAAATAATTAAGGGCATGATTGAATAAAGAAATCAATATGATGAAATAATAAGAACAATCCAAGTTTCAAACCGCAACGCTCATGTAGCACCCTAACCCTAGAACGAAGGAACTATAAAATTAAAGAAAAGAGAGGAGGGAAGAAAAACTCGTTGAAAGCTTTCTCCAAACGTGGTCTGCGTTCTCTGCCTCCAAAGTAACATTATTAGAATCATCATAATAAGAGTCCGAGAAAGGATAAAAGAAATTAGGACAACCATTCCAATGGTCACCTTGACAAGCACACATATTACAAAATTTTCACTCTATGATTGGGAAGGTGCACACAACCCCCTCCCAAAAATGTTTTGACAATTTTGTCACAAGTGCGATCCTCCACAATATGGACAAGATCACCAGAATAAGAATAACCACCATACGACCGATTTTTATTCCAAAATATCATGTCAAGAAAGTTAAAGAAGTACTAAACTAAACTAAAATTAAAAACTTGAACAGATAAAAAGTAAAAGTTTAATATAATAGGACCCCGACAATGGCACTAAAAACTTGTTGCGTCCAACCGCACACGCAAGTATACATGGTCGAAAAGTAAGAAAACGATAAATAGAATATCATTTCCCCGAGTACTTGTGATTAACTATCAACTAAATTAAACTAAAATAATTTATCTATTCAAGCGATTTTCTAAAGGGTGATTATTTAATTAAAATTAATCTGGAGTAGTAAGCAAGAAATTAAAGAAAATAAGTCGGTAAGCTTAGAGTCGAATTCAATGAGAGAAAGTATTCTAGGGCTATGAGTCAAATAACAATCCCGTTGAGTTTTTTACTAAAATTGAAAAATTAATTTATCTGGTTTATTCATTGACAGAGTTAATATTACTCGTAGCATTCTCCCGAAGTAATACTCGCATATTCAAGCTAACTAAACGCATATATTCCTAATTCTTATAGAATTAGGATAAACAAGAACGCATTAGTAATTTTGTCACGATCCGTAATTCCCACTCTCGGGACCGTGATGGCGCCTAACATTTCACTTGCTAGACAAGCCAACGTTAGAATAGTTTTTAGCCATTTTTAATAATTCAAATTATCTAATACCGAGTAAACTAAATAAAATGAAATAGAGTGAGAAAAATCATAATAACTGCAACATCTAGATACAATCCCAGAACTTGTGTCACAAGTGCACGGGCGACTAGAATAATATAGATAATAGTATGAATGAAAGTAAAACTATCTGAAATAAAATAAACAGCGAGAATAAGGTAGAACGGGACTTCAGGGCTGCGAACGCCGAGCAAATGTACCTCAAATCTCCCTCAGGCAATTAATCCGAGCAATCTACTGACCGCCGCTAGGACCGACTCCAAAATCTACACAAGAAGTGCAGAGTGTAGTATGATTACAACCGACCCATGTACTCTATAAGTGCCGAGCCTAACCTCGACGAAGTAGTGACGAGGCTAAGGCGGGTCACATATAAAAACTTGTACGCAGTATAATAATAATAACAACAGAAAATAAACACAGAAAAAATAAGGTAGTTAACTTATAAAAATAAACTCAATCCTCGGGATTAGTAAAACCAGAAATATTAATCTTCAGAATCTTGTACGAAAACACTGAAAGCTAACACAATCCACAATGAATACCAAACACACAATCTGTTGCGGTGCGCAACCCAATCCCACCGTACAAATACAATCCTCCCTTATTTCACCATATCAAAATCACGTGTAAAATTCGTTGCGGCGTGTAACCCGATCCCACTATATAATCAAAATCAATATCACATTCCTCCCTTATTTCACCATATCAAAATCACATGTAAAATTCGTTGCGGCGTACAACCCGATCCCACTATATTAATATCAATCCTCCCTTATTTTACCCGTTGCGGCATGCAACCCGATCCATAAATAAAATCAATAAATGTAAGCAATTCAACAACTCAATTCACATGAATCTCTACGAGTAAAGAAAATAAAAAAGCCATAAATGGATCTCGTATCAAATCAAGGAATGCTACAATTAATACAAAGAAATAAAACAAGTCAAATATATGACAATTAAAGTGTACAAGTAAAACAATAAGGCATGTAGTAATTAATCATGGAAGCATGGGAGAAACAAATATTTTAGTATGAGAGAAATAAGTGGCAAGTAACAAGTTAAGGCATAGGAAGAAATTAAAGCATGTAACAGTTAAAACATGGAATAAAATAATTAATGAAATAAGAGAAAGCATGGAAACAAGTATTTTGACGGTGAATATACACTCGTCACCTCACATATACGCCGCTACCCGTGTAATTCACATAGCACATAGCTCAAGGGTTCCTAATGCCCTCAAATCAAGGTTAGATCCAACACTTACCTCGCTCCGCAAACAAATCAAAGCTCAACCGAGGCCTTTCCTCTAAAATACGCCTCCAAACCAATAGAATCTAATCAAAATCGACTCAATAACATCAAACAATGCTAGAGAAATTAATTACAATACATAAAGTTAAGTTCTTTACACTTTTCCCAAAAAGTCAACCCCGGGCTTGCTTGGTCAAAATCCGAGATTCGAACCAAAACCCAATTACCCATTCACCCCGAGCTCGATTATCTAATTAGTTTCGAAATCCGACCTCAATTTGAGGTCTAAATCTCAATTTTACAAAAACCCCTAATTCTTCCCAAATCCCTAACTTTCTACTATGAAAGAACATAGATTAAGGTTAGAAATTAATGGGTGTTGATGGAAATGGAAGAAAACAAGTTAAAGTATACTAACCTATGACAGGGTGATGGAATTTCTCTTCAAAATCGCCTCTAGGCCGAGCTCTACTGAAAAGATAGTGAAAAATGGGTGAAATCCCGTCTTTGGGATATTTAATAGACTGGGCGTCAGGTGTTCATCGCGTTCGCGAAGAGCACTGCCCAGATGGCCATCGCGATCATGACAAACTCTACGCGTTCACGTAGGCTTAGCCCACCTCACCTTCACATTCGCGAGTCTGGGCTCGCGTTCGCGTAGAGTAAAGGTTCCATTCCCAATTTCCCCCCTCTTATCACTACGCGTTTGCGAAGGAATGGCCGCGTTCGCG